GTCCGTGCGATTGTGTTTATTTTCAAACGGCTGACTTAAAAATGTTAACGTCGTCGGCCACTCTTCTCTTTGAGCCAATTAAAAAAGTGTCCTCAAAATTCGGTGGCGCCTTCTTCGCAAACGCGCACCCTTTGCGAACAGAGTTATCCTACTTGAGTTTTTAAAAAATCTAAGTGAAACTAGCAAGTTTTTTAATGAATTTCAGAAGAACGCTTTTTAAAAATGGTTACGCTGACAAAAAACCTCTTTCGGAGGAAAGGGTGATTGTTTTCTTCGTTTAATTTGACTTTAGAATAAAAAGCTAGAGGTCATTAAAAAAAAAAAACTATAACTCCACACTGAACGAACCCGAACTGCTGATGAACAGCAGTCGATCTGCGCACGCAATGAGGTGCTATTCCTATTCTTCTTCTGGAAAAAACGAAGGAGAGCTTCAAAACAGACGGCAGCGCCATCTGAAGCAAAGAGCGAACTTCTGGTGGACAATTTTTTGGCTGAGTGGCCCATCTTGTTTTGTACTATCTTTGGCTCTATTTTAAGTGTGCGACCCGTATAGTTCTAGCCTCATGTTCTCTTTTTCTACCAATGACTTTCAGCACCGATCATTCCTTTCATCGAAAGGGGGCCCAGCTAGTGTTTTCTATCTTTCTAATTTTTTTTAAAGGCAAATGCAAGCACTTACAGAATTGATAGAAACCTAGCTTGGTCTTTGAAATAACTTTAGTAATTTTTTCATTGTTCTACTTTCCGTAGTGTTTTCAGTTGTAGAAAACAACCATACATAAAGGCTATGAAATTATATATTAAATGTATGTATATATTGAACATTCTAGGTACCGGTAAGCTCATTACCGATCGAACTTGAAAGCTTTGTTTATCGTGTTTCTCACTCACAATCTGTCAATTTCAAATTCTCTCAGATTTCAAATTCTCTGACACAGCCAATGGTAGAACACTGTTCACGTATCCCTCGAACTACGGATCCCTCCAACTACCGAAGCCGGTCACGACGAATTCAAGCTATCGGTGCTATACTGTATTTTTATATAATATTTTATAATACATAATATTT